TCTGTGCTGTGTCAGAGCATTGTACCTTAATAAAGAACAAAAGGTAACCACAGACTGATGTTGTGCTGTGATGTGGAGGGCTTACTTCAACATTAAATCATTCCCATGACAGTTGCTGCCCCGACATGCCTTCATGTACGTGGATTTTTAATGGTCTTTAAATATATAACAGGCTTTTACTTTTTATAGATATGCTTTTGTAGTTTGTCATTGACATTACTGTAGTTTTAAGGAAATTTTAAGAACTAATGATTGGGTTTTCTGGGCAGGAGGATTGCTTCTGTATGACCATTTTTTACTAAAGCCAGATGTGTGTTGGCTGTGTAGATTATATATTTCATTGATTTTTTTCCCCCCACCCCCAATGGTGAAATCTATTGCAATACAACATGGGTAGTAAAACCTGATGTTCTTGGAACATGTGATTTCTTCTTTACAGATCAGTGCACTTTTCATATCCCTAATTATGTTAAGTCCCAAAATACGGTGTTCTATGAATGTAAAAGCTGGAAAAAGGATTGTCCAGTCAGTTAAGACCAAGCATATTGCACAGCACACATTTTATCTGTCTGGTTAGCTGGGAGCATGGTAATACAGTGTAGGCAGTTTCCATAAAACACATGTAAGCATGTGGCTTTTCTGGCATGGGTTTAAACACCGCTACACAAGGATGAGGAAAGTCTCCTCTGAAAGAAGGAACTAATGAATAATTTAATCATAGTTACTGTTCCTTCCACTCTATAAGATAATTGCTTAACTGGGTAGTTTTCTCTGTGTTTGAGAAGAGTAACTGCCTCCTTTGAGGTGTAGAACCTCTTTTGCCATATGACCTAGGTGATAAATAGGGAAAGGGACTTATAACTGGGTTGCAGAAAATGTAGGAATACTTCCCGAGCAATGCCCCACGCATGTGTGTTCGTTGCTGTATCTCACAGTTAATGATACGTGTCGTTTGGAATATATTGGTGCCTGTAAAGTCTCTGGGCTTGACCATGTTAATTAAATCTCAGATAAATATGGTAATCAGATGACATGCTTATCTGCAGGTAAAGAATTAAGAATAAATTGCATAGGGGTATGTTAAAGAGAAGTGTGTTGTTTTGGGTTTGGTTGTTGTTTTTTTTTTTTCACTGTTATGTTTTGTACCTGGCTAGCAATTCCAAGCAGTTGTTTGGCTTAATTCTGTAATATAATTTCTGAGTTAGGACAGTGATGTAAAGCCAAATTCCAGGCATTAGATGTTGTTGCTGGAAGAAATGAGGTGTCATTTTACTGTCTGTGACATTTCTGAAGTAATAAATGTGGTAGAAGGCCTTGTTTCCCTTTGTCTAAATAACTGCTGCCGTTGTATGAACATTTATCAGCAAACGTTTAAATGTCGTAGAAGCTGGCATTTCCAGTGGACTTGCCAAGAGACAAAACTCCCCTCCTCTGAGGCAGCACAAATGAAATTAGCTAAGACTGAGTTCGTTCTTCTAATTATAAGAGTTCTGTCAAATCTGTTTAATATGGGGATGCAGCTGACCCACTTGTGTTAGCGATCAGAAAAAACCTACAGTTTTCATCTATTTTTTGTAATTTATTAGCTTTGGTTTTGTTAAAACAGTTAACCAGCAGTTCATTTTTTGCATCTGAAATATTTCTCAGTATATTTTATTATGATTAAAAAAATTCTACCACGGTCCTCATTATATTTGAGACTTAAAAGTGTCCTTAAGGAATTGTGTCTTCAGATCTCCATAAAAAGAAAAAAAACAGGATTTTCTTTGCAAGGTAGATGTCATGAGTGTTAGTGTGATATTGTTAATAACTCATTGCCATTAAAATATCTGATAAATTTGCACATTAAATGAATGTGAGGCATGTGAGGGTGTTGTGTTGGTTTGAAGAGGGAGTTGATATCAAGGGATATCAAGTTGGAAAGATAAAGATTGGTCACACACGTTGGACCACCACTGCACGCACAGTCTGAGCTCTTAGGACCGTATGATTCTTTGATTTTTTAACTAGGCTGTTATGTCTGGCCTGCTGTAGGATGCTCTAATGTGCTCTTTCATATAAAACAATAGTGAAACATGACTGTGGGGGAGGAAAATTGTTGCTACAGTTGGATTCTGGCTTTTTTAACTGGGATTTTTTTTACATACAGTCATTTCACTAGCTGTTGGATTCAGAAGTGTAATCTTATGTGCTTGTGTCGTCTTCACTGTTAGTGTTGAGGAATGGAAAGTTTTTGGTTTTTTTTTAAATGTTTCTCCAAAATCATTGCATACAAACTTCAAATGACTTGGTAGCAGAGGATATTCTGGTTGATACTAGAATATCTAAACGATTTTCCTGTATATATTACTTGCAGGGAGGGAACTGCTCCCAGCCCTTTGGCATACTTTCTCTTGTCAGGAAGACTCTTGTGTTAGCACAAAAGATAGGGCCAATGAGAGCTAGGGATGGAGTCTCTTTTAATCTTTGTCTTAATATTAGTGTGTGTGAAGTGAGCATTTTTCACTTGAGTAACTGCTACTTACATATGACAGTAATACGCAGGTAATTACTCTTTCAGAGCTTGCTGTTGTATGACTCTATTTTCACATGGGAGACCTTTGTCTCAGTAACTTCCCAGGATTTCAGTCTGCATTTACAACCTCACTTCTGCATCTTCACAACACTGTTTCAGGCAGAGTATCAGTTCTGAAAAATGCTGTGGCAATTTCTGAACCCATAGGAGAAAAAAGTAATGGAAGTTGAATGTGGCTAAAAGCCATCAATGATACTTGTCAGTTCATTATGAGAAAGAGTGAAAACAGTATAGTTTCCTACATTTTTGCAGTTTATTTTATTTTTTTCAACCAAAAGCTTGTAAAAAAAGTGGGGTTTAATATGGCTATAACTGAAGGAGATGAGAGGAAGAAATATTTTTGCACAAAATAACCTTTGAATTTACTAACAGCTGGAGGAGGTATGTAGTGATTTCCCCACCCCTGTGTTTTCATTACACTTTTTTTTTGTTAGCAGGAAATGGGAAAATACACATTATGTATGAAATTATTGAAATAAAGTGTGTTTCTGAGTACATTCTAGGTTTTAATTTTTTTATTACTTATTTCAGCTGTTAATACCAGGCCCTTTTTCTCCCGACTCGATTCCAGCTGTTAAAATACTAGTTTATACCAAGCATTTCTGGTATTGGTTCCTACTGGCACGAGCTTGAATTTTTTTGCTACTGAATTTTTTATTTTTGAAATACCGTTTCATGAGATAATCACTTGGAAGCCAGGAGTACAGGATCAGAATATTGTACACAGTCTGCTTTCCCTAGTTAGTAGCCTTTTAAATAGTCATTGGCCAAGGGCAAATGACTTGTCTTCCAGGTTTTGGAAACCACTGTAATTATGGTAGTATATATGTATCTGGATCAATGCCTGGAAGATCTATTTAGTAGCCATACCTTGTTTACATGACCTTTTTTTTTTTTTTTTTTTTTTTTTTTTTTTCTAGCAATAGCAATTTAAAAGCATTTTTTTTTTCTTGAAATATCATGCATAAGGAAAAAGGACAGATTGTTCTAAGACTATTGTGCATTTTCTGATTAATTTAGTCAAGTATGTTTGAGTACTACTGGGATCTGTTTCTTTGAAAGCAGTATGAGTTTGCACACAGAGATGTAGACTTTTTTCTGTAATGCTGTAGAGAATCAAACTGGCACAGCTAGTAAGTTTTTGCTGTATATGTAAATAATAGCAATAAATTTGAGGCCAGTGTAGCTTTTGGTGTGTACAGGTCCTTTTTTTTTTTCTTGAATATATGGTATGTTCCATGCATACAGTAGATCTAAAAAAAAATACTTATTTCAGAGAGGCCTAACTTGGATGTCTTCACTAAGTACTGTTTTTCTTGATGGATTGCACTTGGCTTCAAAAGGCCTTTTCATTTAAATCAAGGTCAGTGGTAGTAATCCCTTGGTGCAATGTCAATCTCAATTAGAGATAACATAAAATTGAACTATGATTTTATGTAGATAAATTTCAAACAAACTTAGCCTGACATTTGACCTAAATAGAAATGCATATTCATAACTAACATATTTGAGTTATGGTCCTGAGACTTTAATTTATGATAATAACTTAATTTCATACTGGAAAGAAATAACATGGAATTCTGTCCATTTTCATGTACCTGCTGTCTATGAAAGGACTCCCTAATAGGTTTTATACAATCAAGGTGGGAGAGAAATTGTATGTTATTCAGAGCATCTCAAGACTGTTCAAGTGGACTTACTATTTTCAGCATATTGCTCAGTCACTGTAATCATGATCTCTGCAAGACACTAGGTATTGTGAAGGACTGTCAGATCCTCAAATTAGCAGTAGACAAATGCTAGTTAGAAGTTGCAATACAGAAAGATGAAAACTAGACCAGAAGTGTAGATGTGGTGGGAGATGATAGATTAAAACAGTCAAAGTGTCTGAATGCATTTAGTTACTTTATAATAGTTTTACACATATAAAAATAAATGTGTTCATCCCACAGTCTGTAGACATTAGGTTCGCTGGTTTTAGAAACTCAAGGTTGATCTTTAAATATGTGTCCCAAGCCAAGGGTTGCACTTAAGACCATCAGTATTATCAGTGTGATACTGGAGAGCACTTGCAAGGCACACTGAACCTTACATTGTCACGGATGTTTAAGCTTGAAGGAAAAGGGGAAGATTTGCATTGTAATTTTGGTTTGTTTTATTGTTTTTTTTAACTGGTTAGGTATTATACTAGTTGATAAACACTGCTGATAAACTATTACAAAAAGGAAACACTTTTTGGCATCTTTGCACCCCATCTCAAGGTTTTTTGCTTCGCCTTCTCTGTGGTATATAGTTGTATGATTACCCCTCCCTTTGGCCAGAGCTTACTCTCAGTTGACATGGGGACCCACCATAAAGTGGATGAATAGTTAAGACATAAACTCTAGGACTACTTTACGTATTTAAGTTATGGTCCTTAGTTATGATGTATGACCTCCTGTTTTATATTTCTGTTAATAGGATCTGTTTTTACCCTGAAAGTTCAAGTAAATGACATCATCAGTCATCAGTACCTGCAACAAGCGGTTGTAGAAGTGTTTGTTAACTACACAAAGACAAATTCTACTCTTACTGGAAGCAACGGAGCAGTATTAATAAAAGTCCCCTACAAATTAGGATTAAGTTTAACTATCGTATCGTACAAGGATGGCTACATGTTAACACCTTTGCCTTGGAAGACTGGGAGGATGCCAAGTACGTAAGCATCTTACAGTCCTATTATTAAACTGTATCTGTCAGTAATTAAATTTCTGTCTGCCTCAGCAGTCTGGGTAGTTACTGTCAACTGAAAATAACTGAATGAAGTCAGTCAAGGCAGGTGGTGCCTGTCATTGCAGATGTAAGGGTGAATGATCTGTTAGATTTGTCAAAATTCTTAATATTGTAAACCAGAAAATATCCCTTTTAAAATAGGTTATATTGTGATACCATGACTATATTCTGCGAAGTTGTTTGCTTAAATTTAACAAAGGGCTGGTAATGAGTTGTGATGAAAATCGTGTCTTGGTGATTCCTGTGTTGTGAGTCCTGTATAACGGAATAACCTATTGCTACAGTTTTCAGCTGTCTTTCCTCAGGAGTTCTCCTGTTTATCTATTGCATGCTTTAAAAACGTTATGTGTTTTTTTTCAAAAAAAGAGATGGACTCTTAAGAATTCTAGCCACTTGTTTATCCATAGAAGGCATAAGATGTAGCAAACTTACAACAGAGGTCTTCTGCCTAACCACTAAAATTCCTGTGCTGGACAACAGGAGTAATTTATTTATCCAGTCTTCATATACTCTCTTTTTCTAACTGCTCTATTCACTATTCCTTCAGAATCTCAGATCTTACAGGATTTTTCTCAGTTCCACACTATAACAGATATTATTACTTTCCACAGTATACTCATCTGTGACACTTTCATTATTCCCACAACGTCAAGCTAATATATGGCTCTTTGAAGATATTGTCTTAATTACTGGAAAACTGTCTGGTAAGTTCAGTGTATGCAGACCATATTCTTACCACTGTGTGATAACCATATGTACACATGCAAAGAATAAAAATTAGTCATGTTCATATTCTCATATAAGACCTATCTACTCAAAGCCAGATTTTCAGTTAATTGTGTAGCTGTATGTGTGGCTGTGACAAGTGCTAGACTAGAAATACACAAACGAGGGAGAAAATGGGTGAAAACAGGTGGTTGGTTATGCTAAATGGTTTTTCTGAACAGCAATAAAAACATTGTTTTTGTGTTTTACCATTGCTAAGACAAAATACTCCTCTTTTTTACAGATGCCAAATCTCAACCAAGTGTTCAGTTTCCAAAATTATTAATAAAGCTTCCAACAAATCACCATATTACAAATGTTACAGCCTACCTGACAGTGCCAGAGCAATTTTTGAAAGTGGATAGCTTTCTCTATACAACAGGAATTCTTCTAAATAAATCGGGTATGTAAATACATTGTTTAAGAATTTTTCTGAAAAGAAATCTTCAAATTATAATGCATATGACTGCATGGTGTTTCAGAAAAACATACACTTAAATTAGAAGGGCCTTAACCTGCTTGTATTGTGTTACAGAGCTTTGTTCTATAGTAGTAGGCTTGTAAACACATCAGGTAAGTAAGATATGTCACTCTTTATCTCATTTCATGTAGTATGAAAACATATCTTACTACGCTGAAATACTCCTTCAGAGTCTGCTTTATATCTATATCTATATATCTCTATATATCTATATAGATATAGATATCTGTATCTGTGTGTGTGTATGTATATGTTCAGGATTTCATGAGACTGTGGAACTGATTTAGTAAACAGTTTAAAAGTTATGGCCAGAGTGTAAACTAGGTGAACCTAAAGAAATCAGTGAAACTGCAGCAGTTGTCTTCAGCTGTGGGTTTTTCTGTATTTTCACTAGAATGGCTGCCTTAAGGAGCTTTACACCTAGTGTAAAGATTGTATGGAAGCTCTGGTTTGGATTGCAGACAGTTAATCCGCACAGGCTTGTTTGAAACCAAGTAGTCGCTATGAATACAGAGCATACCTGTAATGTTTTTTGTATATCTGTTTCACTGGAGGAAGTGATAAGTGGTTTCATGAGTCACTATAACTGCTCATATGCAGTTGGATCTTCTAGTGTTTGTCATTCTATAAGATTACATTATTTATGCAAATAAAAAAAAAAAATCTCTGGTAGATTGTACTGTGTGCAGTTCCATCTTTCTTTTGTTCTTTTCTTTCTATTCCCAGTAGACCTGAAGCCATGAGGCTCTTAAATTCATTGCAGTGCATGAGGAGGCCACTACATGGCTTATTTGAATTTGTCATGCTCTCTTCTTTAATTTTCACTGAATTAAAATCATCATATGTATTGCTATCTTGACTTACATATTTTAAAGGCTTTCTTATCTGTATTTCACCTCTTTAAATGTAAAGCCTAGGAGAATAAGCAGTGTTTCTCCCCTTCAGGTTTTCCTTTCAATCTGTCTGGCATGTGTTTTAAATTATTCATATACTCCTAAAGCAATAGGCTTCCTTTTAGGGCAGGTGGAAGATAATTGGTATCTGACGTACCAGGAGCTTTCTCACAACCAGCTTCTAACAGCTTGCATAAGTTTAACATTATTCTGGTACTTACTAATTCTGTTTCAGCATCTTTCACCATCCTGTCATAGTGTGCATTCTGAAGTATTTCCAAGTTAGTGTGAGGAAAGTAAAGGAAATAAACTTTCAGGCTGCATTGTAAAGCTTGCAACATTCCTTTGAATGCCTTGACGGGCCTCATGATTTAAATATTCAGTTAATTCTAACTGCCTAATTAGAAAGTTAATCCTTACAGGAAAGTTTGAGGACTGTTTAACTAAGGAGAAATACAGTAGTCATATATTGGCATATGTCTTCATTGTTATGTATGTTGCAGTTATACAAAAATTCTTACCCTATTTCACATGGGTTAGCTCTTGTAATCAAATTATCTGAGGGAAAAAATCCTCTTTCCCCAGCCCCAAGCCAAGTTTTGCATACTCATTGGTTCTGTGGTCAGCATTGAACCTGTATGTCAAAAGTCTGTTTCTCTTTTACAAATTTGGTATAGATATGACTGGTTTTTATTTTAATCACAAGATTTTAAAAGTCCAGAAGAGAAGGAATGTGGATTTTTATATGACCAAGTTGACAACAGCTGACTGTGTAGCTGGATGTAAATGAGGACTTGCCTTTAGTTAGGATAGATTTTTAATTCTAAATTATTTTTTCAAATACACTGTAAATGGAGAATTACAGACAAGATATTTCTCATTCAGGTTTCAAAAGCATGGAATTAGCTCCTCTTGCTGCAATATGTGTAAATGTTCTTTTGACTGGGAAAGAACTGAAAGTAAATGGTCCCATTCAGATTACACTTCCTCTTCCCACAAGTACTGTAAAACCAGGAGATGCTATACCTGCATGGACATTTGATATGAAAACTGGTAAGTGGCTTAAGTTATTTGTTACTCTGCCTTTTAGCACATGTGTATAGTTTTGGGCACATGATACTATATGTCATGGAGCAGTGATGGCAATACTATATGAGGTGGTAGTAAATAGTCACAGATTATTATTAGGGGTTCCGTATTGTTTTTTTTGTTGAGTAGCTTGAATTGTTCAAAGGAATTTTCTGCTTTCATTAGTTCAAAAAGCTTTGGTAAAATTCATTAACATTCCTACTGAACAAATTTTTAACGTAATAGATTTTTATTTTCATGGGAGGCTAAGTATTCAGGGATTGTACATTTTAAGTGATGTTAAATTTTAAGCCTGGAAATCTTGTGAATGCTTTCTTAATACAAATCAGAATTGAAGATTTGGATGCTTTGTTTCCTAGAGTATAGCTCTAAAGATCCTTTGATACTAAAACTGGAATAGATATTACTTTAGTTAACAAAAGCAATTCGGAAAGTTAAATGAAGGGGAAATAAGAATTATTAAAGGAAACAACATTATTCTTATGGTATACATGGGAGGAGGAGGCTGGGAATTAGACATTCTAAACCTTTTGTTACCGTTCATGTCTAATTGTAGTCAAGGAGCATGGAGCATGGCATGCTGACCCAATAAAAACAATTAAATGTTGGGTTTTTTTCTCTCAGATTGGATGTACTTTGGTAGAGGTTCCGTAAAGGTAGATTGACTGTAATGGGTGCTCACTGAGGGGTGGTGTTCACATGGAGCCTTCATGGCTGCTTGCTGAGGAGAGGGGACAAGGAGAGAGACTTTTGGGGGCATAACTCTTAATTTCTGCTTTTTCTTCTACTTGCTTGTCTCTGCAGTGAAAATTTGCAACTGTATTCACTGTTCTGGATGTTTATTCTTAAATTTGTTTCATTCATTTTTACCTCTGATCTGACATGGTCAAAAAGACTTTTTTCTAAGGTAACTGTAGTCAAGATTCTGGTGACTGAGGACAGCTGAGCACCTCAGCAACTCCAGCAAGCATTTGAGAGCATCCGTAAGTAGCAGTAGGCCGCCACCTGAGCTGAATGGAGAGCTACCACTGCACTGAATAACAAGGCTCTGGCATCCAAGATGTTGCATGCAGGATGTCCTCAACAAGATATTGGCATGCACTTTAAGCTCAGAATTCTTGGGGTAGTATGTCATAATGGTAATCAGAGCTTCCATGTCATTATTGACAGTGGTAAGAAAAGAGGTCTCTGTTTGACCTTGTGTAGGTGGATCCATATGCACCAGAAAAAAAGATAGAAACTGCTTTCACATTTCTGTTTGTGCATTGTTCCCTGGGGTTACTCAAAAGTATTGAGACTGTTCCTGGAAAATGAGCTTTTGCAATTATATTCCAGCTGCTGTAAATGCAGAATTTGTTGACATATATTGAATGTGGCTTCCTTCTAACTAAATATTTTGCCTCATTAGTACCAAAAGTACTTTGTGGATTTTAATACAATTACAAAAAAAAACCCCAAACTTGCATTGCAACATTAAATTGAGAATGATATCCTTCTGTTTGAATGGCAGTAAATCTGTTTGAATGGCAGTAAATCAGAGAGAGTATGTGCTTACTCATAAGTGACATTTTAATGTTTTTCTTGATGTGTACTATTTTCTGTGGACTATATTGGGTGGTAGATATTTACTGAAGAGGACAGCAAAGATTATATGGCTTCTTATAGATTTGTTCAGTTAAGGAAAAACTTCTGGAGACCTAGACATTTTTTTGCCTTTTATATCTGGTGTTTTGTGTTGGGTTTGTACATAGCCTGTACATAGCCCCCCTGTAACACTTGTAAAAGAGTAGTTTTGCAGTATAGTGACATTTGCCTTAGAGGTGCCAGGATAGAATTTGAGTATCTGTTGTTGCCTTCATATGAGAGTTAGGGATAGAAGACTCTTCCAGCTGTTCTTGCTCCTGAGTCTGGACAAGAGGTTTTCTAAGAAACTGAGAAACCACCTCTTTCAGGGCTCTAGGTGGCTGCTGCTGCTGCTGTTCCCCTCTGCCAGCTGTCTCACATACCAGGAGAAGGCTGCAAGTTTTACTGCCAAATGATGTTTTGTGTGTATCTGCACATGCATGTGGCATGTGGCAGTTCTCATCTTTACCTCCTGTCTGGCAGATATTTCCTTTTGCTTTGCTGGAAGAAGGGTTCTGGAGAAAAATGGAAATTATAGGACTTAATTATATTTTTCCATGCTTTGGTTTATTGTTTTAAAAAAACTAATGGTTCTCTCTTCTTCTCCTCAGTATTTGCAGTTTGAAAATGTGAGATTGTTTATATGAAACTGTTTTCTGTCCTTAGAATTTCACAGTTGGCCCACAATAAATGTGTTCAAGCGCATTAAGTATAATCCTGTCTCTTCTGCTGCATGCTTTATTAATTGTCGAAGTTGGCATACCATAATACCTGTCCTTTGCATTGCCAAACAGATGGTGTGGAATCTGTGTGCTAACAATAGACCTTCCTGGGGCTAACTGAACTGTTAGTGCCATGGGGCAAGGAGGAGGAGAGAAACATTTAAAACAAACATTGTTTATCCTATTGTAGTTTATTAGATTAAAATGCTTTCCTACCAAGTGCTGCTAGCTAATGTTAAGCTTGTATTCATATCCTTAAATTACCTGCTTCTTGATTTATTTTTTATGTAGTCTTGACCTTCATGTGTACTTAAGCTCATATAATAAGATTTTCCAAATGATTTGTGTCCGTATCTATGGAAGACATTTGCTAATAGAAAAATGAATTACAATAATTCCAGTAAGCAATGGTGTTGCTTTGTTTCAAAGTAAATGTCCACACAGGGATATTTTCAGTGAAATTGTCAAGAGAGAAAGTTTGCATGTTTAGCTAAAGCTGTGTAATAAATAGTGTATAGGTCAGAAGTTTTTCTTGTGACCTTGTGTATTTTTCATAATAGCTTAAGATTAATTACTAATGGTTTGGCTGTAGAAGAATCCTGCATGGCATGTGCAATATTTTGTCCTTTTTTTTTTTTTTTTTTTTTTTTTTTTTCCCAGGTGCTTGGGTAAGCCGTGGGCTGGGAATGGTGAAGGAAGCAGATGGCCAGTTAGTATGGACATACACTGCTCAACACTTAGGCTACTGGATAGCAGCTCCACTGCCTGGAACAAAAGGTATTGCAACAACCGGCAAAGAGATTACTGAGTAACTCAAGTACCAATGTGTCGTAAGGCTCTCAGTTTGGTTGCTTTATTTAACAAAAAGGGAAAAACGACATGCGATTTCAACAGTTGGATAACTTTTATTTGAATCCTGATAGTGTGCCTTGGTGCATATTACTATTTCCTAGAACTTCAAATGCTATAGGGGAAAAAGTCTAGACTGTATTTGAACTTAGATGTTTATACTATCGCCATCTTTTGGAAGAAGCCTGCAAGGGAACTGTGACTATGGAGATCTAAAAATCAGCAGGACTGTATCCTTTACTGTTGAGGATTATGTGTGACAGGAGGAAATAAAACAAGAAAATTATTGTTGGGTGAAACGGTCCCAGTGGATTCTGTTTTATGTAGACTTCTTGCATGTCTTGCAAATTCATGTGAAGGGATTTTTACAGGAAAAATATGTCAGCATTTAAAAACAGATAGCACTTCCTGACCGAAGCACTAAATAGAAAATGTAGACCGTGTTTCTAGGTCAGTTTGGACAACTAATATAAGTGTAATATAACTGAAAGTGAATAGATGTCATGGTAAGGCTTTAGTACTTGAGGTGAACCTTTGAAGATACATTATATTGTAACCACTGTTTGTATATTTTCTAGTTTGCTGAAATAGCAAGGTGAGAAGGGAAGGATGAACGTAGTGCCATAGGAACACAAAATCACTGGAAAATTACAGTTTCATTTATTAGCTACAGATCTGCATATCAAAACCAAATAATTCTGCTTGAGAACTAATTCTTGTCTGGTTTTGTTTGACAATCTAGAATCCATTATTAGTGCGGTTTCCAAGGACATAACAGCCTATCACACAGTGTTCCTTACGGCCATACTGGGAGGTACTGTTGTCATTATCATTGGATTTTTTGCTGTTCTTCTCTGTTACTGCAGGTAAGCAAAAAGAGAGGCTCTAATAAGCTCAGCATGAATGGAATTTAAGGCTGATAAAACAGTCTTTTGACATTGAGACTTGTTTCCTTAGTTGAACTCTAATGTGTAGCCTAATATTTTTTCAAAAATTAGTTATTACAGAACTTAATTTTAAGTTTGTGATGCCACATTACAGTATAACTTCTTAACCAGACTCTAACCTTCAGCTCTGGTAGTCAACAGTCTAGTATTCTTAGTATGCTCTACAGTCACCTTGCATCTCTTTTGCATAGGGATAAATGTGGTCGGACACAAAAGAAGGAAAAAAATACAACTAAGCTGGAGGTCATAAAAAAAGACCAGACAACATCAACAACTCACATGAATCACATCAATGCTGTCAAAGGGTCTTTAAAGCTGGAGGATAAGTCACAGTTATACACACCGAAGATTTCTTCATACAGCCCTCAAAGAAGGATGTCTGTAGACACAGAAGATGGAAAATCACGAGACAATTTTAAAATCTACACAGAGGATGCTTCTTATCAGTCATCCTGTCAGGCAAGAAATTCAGCCCATTCGTTAGAGCCTGCTCCTGGAGTTCGGCATTTACAGCAGCCGAAGCATAGTAACAGTACTCTTTCCCAAGCTCCTAGGGACATTCAAGACCAAAACAGATACCTTTCACTGAAAGAAGAGATATACGGGCTTTCCCATATCCCAGAACACTTAATGCATATTTACAATCAACCTATCGCTATTCTTCAAACCTCTGAACTTTTCCACTCCCCAGAACAGTTGCATCCTGCTAAATCAGCAACTCTGCCAAGAAAAGGGCAGTTAATATATAGCCCCATGATGGAACCCATGAATCGTGACGGTTACATGCAGACCTTACCAAAAATGCCAGTGCACTCTCATCCACAGCCTTCTGTCTGCAGAGATGAAAACAATACAATAGCTAGCGAAGAGGGTTTACCTTCTCAAGCATCAAACTGGAGCCGGTACACTAATAGCTTACTGGAATCTGTCTCTGTTCCTGGGACATTGAATGAAGCAGTTGTAATGACTCCGTTTTCATCTGAACTTCAAGGTATTTCAGAACAAACCTTATTGGAACTCTCTAAAGGAAAACCATCTCCCCATCCTCGAGCATGGTTTGTGTCCCTGGATGGAAAGCCAATTGCTCAAGTGAGGCATTCTTTCATAGATCTGAAAAAGGGCAGAAAAACAGAGAGTAATGATACCAGTCTGGATTCTGGTGTGGACATGAATGAGCATCATCCTAGTAGGAAACTGGAGAGAGAGAAAACTTTCATCAAAAATATGCCACATTCTAAGATCCTTTACTTGGAAGATCTGGATCTGAGCAGCAGTGAAAGTGGGACCACTGTTTGCACTCCAGAGGACCAGGCTGTGAGGCACATTCTGGATGGAGGGAATGGGCAAGTCACAGAACAGCATGATGAAGGTCTAAGAAGAAAAACTGTATCAGGAAGTCATGAATCTGGTATCCCTTCTGCTAAAAGAAGGGATAGACCATCTATCATGAAAAGAGATAGCAAAACTAATATCTGGAAGAAAAGAGAGGAGAGGCCGCTTATGCCTATAAATTAAAACACAGTGTGCTTTGTGTTGCTCTCCCTGCTGGTTATTGACCTCTTGGCTGCTTCTGTAATTCTGCAGTGTTGGGTTTGCAAGGGAAATAATGTTTTCTAGTATCAAGAAAAGGTTACATTTTTAAAAAATATATCAATGGGGTTACTAAACTTCAACTGGGCAATTGATATTCAGTGTGAATTGAAAACAGGGAAGTGCTACTATTAAAATTTTCCAGTTCCTAATTTTACTGGCAGTATGGAGAGGGCCCACATTTAATTAGCCTGTCATTCTTGGACACACCTCTGGGAATGCACAGCAAGAAATGTAGGCACATGTTTTAATTTTTTCATAGTTGTTGCTATGCATTGGTAGACTAGTTAAAGCCATTCCTAAGCTGTGTTCCTAGTCATTGTGATCATCTGTACAGTATTTTATATGTGAACTTTTCTATGGATCTGTTATACTTCTTTGTATAATGTAAAGTGTTTCATCAATCCCATGACACCAGCAGATAAGCTCTGTTGGATTTATCAGCAGAGCTCTATAGCATTACTGCCCTCCCTGTATGTAGAACCCATGTGCAAAAGGTTGCCATTCCACATAGCAGTGGCAGAAGGGGGGAAGTGTACAAGCTCCATGCCTCTGCTGCAGTTCATGCTCCCCACTGTCTTAAGATGTTGCCCATCTTGCTTTGTTTTAATCTGCTCTATGAACTGTGAACGTTGAAGACTGACATCTGCTATGAAGTGTCCACATCCAGCAGAAAAGGACTGGTTCTGGTAGGGTTCAAAGCTGCTGCTACTACTGATCCCAGTATCTTGTTTGGCTTCATAGTCAGTTAAAATCTTCTCTTCTGCATGCTGTTGGGCCACTTGGGCTCCACAACATAGCCTTGAATCCCTGCATATTTATAAGTTAGAGTTTGACCCATAATGAAAAAGTATGCAAGTCTAGACGAATTATGCCTTTGAAATAGTTTCCATTAGCAAGAGAGTTTGATACTGTTGCTTTTTATTTTATGTTTAAAGAAATGGAAGATCATCAGAGGTTTATGTGCCTACATTTTGCGAGACTGAGCTGATTTTGTCTAGGTTGTGCATTGCAGAGGGGTTAAACAGGCTTTAAAAGTTGGGGGTTTATGAGCATGAGAGAACAGATCACAAAATTTGGTCTATAATGCAATATAAATACTATTTATGACTCATCTTAGAGTTAAATTTACCAAAAGTCATGAATGCATGAAATGTAACTAAGATACTTATAGAAAAAGGAAAAGGCCATCAGAATATTCTTTATTTTTAATGTTCATCTTGTCAAAGTGATTGTTTCAACTTTGGCTAACAGAAGAGTAGATGCATCCTTAATGTGCTTCATAATATAGTGTATAGAATATCCTTCTGTGGCTTTGAAGCTGTTTCCCTGATGAAATAAGTTCCAACATTTTGGCTTTGGCAGTTTGATTACAAATAATCCTAAAAAAAAGCTTTATATGTATATTTCCCTTAGAGCTTGGTTAAAGTTCTATACCAAAACCCAAACATGCAATGTCTATATACAATCCTGATGGGATGGGGAGGTGTCACATCCCAATTTCTCAGGACAACAACTCAGGCTCACCGCTTCACAGGTCAAGATTAAGGTGAAATGACACCGAGGACTCTTCAGTTAACAAAACTCAACCTTTTATTTGCTCACAAGAAGTATTGTCATGAAAATTTGTCAGTAAACCTTGCAACCTCTGCTAACCATATGCTGACAAGTGGTAGATCCTGTAAAATACACTAATAAGCCGTAAGTCATGCAGGGATATAAGGATAGAGAATGGGAGAGAAAAGGAGGGAGAGAGAGAAATAGAGCTAGAGGGAAAAAGAGAGACCAACAAAAGAGAAGGATTTGCCCAGTCCTGTGTCCAGTGTTGGTCCAGCCAGTCTCGATGTCCACAGCCAGAGGGTTGTGCTGCTCGGGGCTTCAATTTGTGTCCTTTTAGAATTCCTTGCCCCTCCTCCAGTCAGGCACTTGCACTCATTAGGCTAATTAGGTCATGCACAGTCTGTGCTTATAGAATCCTCTTGGCTTTTGTGCATATGTAGTTTGTACCTTCAGAGTCTTCTGGAAATGGGTCACTGGGTTTGGGGGTCATCAGGAAGTTATTCCCCCCCTCTCTGCAGGAATGGCAGTTGTCTGACTATTCTTCTTGGCACAGGCATCATGAAAAGAGCTTCTCTGTTGGCTCCTTATGGAGTCACTCAAGGTAGGGAATTTCAGCCTCAGAAAAGTGTGGTCACGACTCCGTAGGACCCTCTCTTCTCACCTTATCTCCCTGTTGTTGTTTGCTCAACCCTAGTGTTTCCACAGAGCCCATCTCTTTTACCAGAATTCTTTATTGGATGTTTGAGGCATTAACTGTGATTTTGCTGGGCTGTCACACCACCCTGTGGCTCAGACATTCAGCTGGACTGAATTATTATGGAGATCTTCCACAGTAATAATCTTCACATACCAGACAGTAGGAGAGAAAAGAGAAGAAGCAGAGGAGAGCAAGTGGGTAATCATACATCGCGTAACTGCAAGGCCTTTCATTAAGAACAAGAATCTACATAACAACCTAAGTCTAATGTTAACAAGCCAATTTCCCCACCCTGTGAGTCCCAAGGACTTTAGGGGAGAGGTCAGCCACGATCCTCTGTCAGACTGGTCTCCTGGTTGCATCACTTGGAAAAGTTCTCCGATTTTGTCTGCAACTTCTCTCGTTGGCTTGGGCTTCTTCAATTGAAGTGGGGTCATTATCAGTAGTTATACAACATTCCCTGTCAGTTAGATTCAATATCCCACATACCCCATCTTCCTTCACCAACCACGTGTCCAATGCTAATCAGTTCTGAAGGATCATTTTCGACACTTGTTGTACCTGGGTGTTAAGTTCTTCAAATGCACAGTGTGTCCAGTTGGACAAAACATGCATTTGCTGTTATATTTTCCAGGACAAATTGGTGTCTTTTGAGGGTGATATATGGGGTAAATGTATTTTTCTAACATCAGGGATGCATTCGTTCCCAAGGTATAATAATCAGGTATTGCGACTCCAAGTATTGCCCGCTTGGGTCGTGCTTTAGGACCAGCCCCGTGTCTTTGATCCTGTGGGGCTGTTGAGTAATTAAACACCTTGTGCGGACAAGTTACAATGCCAGTTCCACATTCAGACCAGCATGTCTTTGGATATTTATATGGGAATACATTTTGCTATTTGAACAACCCCCAAGGGTACCATAAGGGGCCAGGTACTGGGTGTTCCGACATGTAGCCTTATCATTAGTATTATACAAACTGGTGTCTAAATCAGGCGTGGGGTATCCCCAGCAAGCATGCACATCACTAATTAGGATTCTTATTTCTCAAACAAACCAAGTTTCCAATGGGTTACCTGCACTATTGGTGCAATCTAATTGGGTTATACACTTAAGAAAAGAAAGCACGCTGTGTTCTCGTATCCTTTAAAAATCTTCCTTGCTCTACTGCCATTCCCAGGCCCACTGGCTGAGGTCGGATTTTTTGGGAATTTTTGATACACCATGAAGGTTTAAATTCTTTGTGGTAGTCAAGTTCAAATGGGGTTTAGAGTTCAAGTTGCATTAGTGATGGCCACCAGGGGACCCAAGTACACTTGGTACCATTATTCGCTATCGCCTTTGAACATCTATATTCTTGGGTGGACCATGCTTCATTTATGCCTGTGTCCCCTAAAAAATTCCATATACTTCAGGATTCCCAATAAAATTTGTCTTGAGTAAAATTACAAGCACCACTTGAGTTCCACCCATTCTTCCATTCCAACATTTACTTTTCCAGGTGTGACAAGATTCAAGGTTTACTCCTCAGGGAAGACAGTAAATTTTGAATTGTCAGAAGGATTTTCTAGAGCCATGAAAGGTGCCCTGGAGGTGGTGTTCCAGGAGCAATTTGGTCTACATGAAATATTACCAGAGGCAAGAATCCTTTCCACAAGGTTGGTGATGTTTAGATTATTGAGGCTGAACTGAATTCCTTTGTCAGTGGAGTTTGGTAGCGCTATAAAAACACGTTGATTGGTGCTATTTCAGATGAGCATAAAACCTTGAATAAAATTTCAGCCTAATTTTGGGGAATCTTTTCCCTGTTGTCACCTGGAAAAGTTGAAGACAAGGGAGAAGGCTCTCCAAAGCATCTTTCCTTATAACAACAGACACAAATTAACAAACAACAATAGACCAATAGCACAAATAACAATTCATGTAGCCAGGGCTAGTGTGAATCCCTTGCTATCCTTCTCTGTTTTTCTCTAGTTCTACAAAGTGCAAATACAAAGTGTATGTAAGTTAAAATGGGTATTATCCATCACATGTGGATTTGATGGTCTAATTGCAGATTCTACTCTCTGTTTCTTGCTGTGCAACTTCCACAGGAGGAGGGGTTCTGGCCAGTGTCGGTTTCAAGACCTTGAAGGGTCCTCTTAAGATGATTGGCTGCTGCTGTATGATTCTTTCAGCTTCCTGCAAAGCTAGGCTAACTATGAAAACGCCTGTCTCTCAAACTTAAATTGATTTTGCACATCTTTGAAGCTGCACGAATAGAACCTGATAGGTTGGATTGGGCCCTCTGGTCTGCATTGTCGCGTATATATGGACAGTCCATAAACTGCAAAACCCCACTCGATGTGGGGTGGATTTGTTGGGTGTATTGCCCCTAAGGCCTGATGTACCCCAGCCTCAAAAATTGACAACTTCAGAGCTTCTTTGTGAATGGGGGTACAGTCCCCTACAGCCCTTTTACAGGTTAGGTTGTAGAGGGCGCAGGCTGTGATCAAAAAATCAGGAAGGTGTTTCCTCCAAAATACTAGCAAATCTAGGGTCTGTTGTTCCTTCTTTTTTTCCAGGCATTTTAACTGGCTTGAGGGTAGTTAAGGTTTCAGGGGGAATGCGCACTGTTCCACTAGATACCCAGAAACTTCACATCAGAAGATGGGAGTTGTATCTTTTTGT